CTTCCAGTTATCAAAGATGAAACATCACAATTAGGTAGCTGTGAACTTCCGCATCCCTCAGCACCTCTGGCCACCAGGACGGGTTATCTGGTAGAAAGCCTGACACCGGTTCCCTGATTGCCTCCTGCTTGCGGTGCGACATTCCCTTCCAACAGAAGCCCGACCTCCGTTTTGAAGTTCACGGGTCAGCTAGCCAGGTCTTTTTTTGGTCTTGGCAATCTATGTGCCCTGGTGTCCTGGCATCTTCTTGTTCAGAAATTGCTAAAATCACCCCGAAAATAACAAGTGGGACCTTAGCAGTGGCAGCGGGGGAGCGAGTTCTCATCTGCTGTAAGGTACAGAAGAGCAGAGGGGATGTCCCGGGCGTTAACGCTGCTGCGTCCGCCCTGACCTTGAAGCTTGCAGCTCGTGATGTTGCAGATGGATGCAATCCTTGCTATCAATCTCATTTGCAGCTTCACTGGTAAGAGCTGATTGCGACGATAACGGCGCCAAGCCTGACTCATCAGTACCTGAAGGAGGAGCCATGCCACCCACAGCGTGCCGGCAGCGGTTTGACTCCTGAGCCGGCTCTGCTGGTGGAATGAATTTGAAGCTTTCCAGTCGATGTTGGTCTTACCACTTTGCCCGGCATTTTTCGACCACACCGTACCTTAAAGCGTGGATTGTGTGTCAGCGAGACCTTGCTCAGTGAGTGTTTAGTTGATTTATCTCAAAAGGAGGAGGTGGCAGCCTAAGAGAACTTTCTTTAAAGATTACAAGGTGTTAATGTATGTGCCGTGGTTTGGGCCTGGTTGGCAGCCAACCACAATGCAACCTCCAGCAATGAGAAGGGACAGAGAGCCAGGCTTGGGGGCCGAGATAGGACTGGGATGGGGAGAAAATTCCCCTTTATGGTCACGAGCAAAAGGCAGACTCGTTAGGGGAAGAAAAAAAAAGAATATAGATTTAGTACAGACACTAACAACACATAACAGAATAGGACAGTGAGAAGCATTGCCACATCTTGAGAACACCTTCCCCCCACCCCTCCCTTCTTCCCGGGCTCAGCTCTGCTCCCGATATCTCTACCTCCTCCCCCAGTGGCGCAGGGGCAGGGAATGGGGGGTGCAGGCAGTGCTGCCACTTCCCTTCATGTTCGGTGAGGGGAGTGTCTGGAACTTGTTCCTCCTGCTCCATCGTGGTCCCCCTCTCACAGGAGACAGTCCTCCACAGACTTTCTCTGACATGAGTCCCTCCCACGGGCCGCAGCGTTCCCCACACTGCTCCGTCATGGGTCACTAACTTCCTCCGACTGGATTCCCTCCCACGGCTGCAGCCCTTCCCGAGCTGCTCCGGCGTGGGACTCCCCCGCATGCTGCAATCCTCCCAGCACTGAATTACAGCAGCGGGGCTGCCTTTTCCCATGAGACCCTGGCCTTCTTCGGGCACAGCACCTTGATCATGCAAGCAGGAGCCACAGGCCGTAAATCAATGTCTGCTCCACCGTAGATCTTCATGGGTGGCAGGGGGGGGCCGCCCTGCCGTCTCCCCACAGGATACAGGGGGGTCTCTGCTCCGGCACACCTCCCCCCACCTTCCTTCCTCCGTTCCTCCACTGACCTTGGTGTTCACGCAGCTGCAGCGACTCCTCCTCACAAGTCCCACTGCTCCTGACCACATCCCTTCTTAAATACGTTATCGCAGAGGCGCAGCTGATTGGCTCAGTTTCCCAAACAGAGGTGGAGCTGACGTGGAGCTGGGGGAGCTTCGAGAAGCTTCTCACAGGGGGCCGCCCCGACAGCCCCCTCCCCTGCCACCAAAAAACTCCACCACTCACTCAACCCAAGACAGTACGTCAAGTCAGCATGTGTGTTTGAGAACAGGCCACGTTAAGCTGTTCCATCTCACCGGCCTCACGGGTTGTCCCTGCTCCTGGGCATGTTTTTGGAGCTCCAGTTTCAAATTCATACTGGGATGGAAAGTGCAGGAGTTAAGACAAGGGTTGCACTGTACCATGTGCTGCATGAAATATCAAACTGGGAGCAGAATCTCCCCCCCTGAGATATTTCAACCAGGGTTGGAAGCCAGATGTGAATAACCTCCATTCACCTACGAGCTCACACATCCCTCACCTCCTGCATCCAGCTGGCACGGGCCAGAATATTAAAAGCCACATAACTCTGCGGCCGCTTCAACAGCTTTTGCTGTGTTTGGAAGGACCTTTGCACGAAAGCGTCTGAAATCCCAGCAGCCGTGCGCTGGCCGAGGAGCAGCCGACGTCGTCATTGGGAATTTACGGTCGGCTCGTTGTTTTCTGGTAACGGCCTGGCCAGATGCTTGCGGTGCTGCCCTGTGCTCCTCAGATCCTCTCTGTCAGGTGAGCATGAAAAAGAGATGGAGATTTTGGGAGCCGGCGCCCCGGGGGAGACTTCATCCCATCCTTGCTCCCAGATTCCCGTTTCTCTAGCTGAGAGGGTTTGCCGTGAGATGCAAGGGAACGTACTCAGTGCCCTTACTTGCAAGTGTTTTGAAAAATAGGAGGCCAAAAGGGACTGATGATAATCAGGTGATTTTTTTTTTTTTTTTTTTTTTATGATTTTCTGGGAGGGAAAAGGGGTGCGCAGCAGATAGCAAACTTCGGGGATTTGTTGCGGTGGGAAGCTGTGGGGGCTGGTAGCGCTGCACGCTCGGGGAGGGTTTAAACAAATTCAAGACGACTGGTCCGCAGACGTCTCTGAAGTGGGGTGACTTGGAGGACACCCCCTTGCCGTCGCCCCTAAGACAAGGATCGGGTGCTGGGGGGGGGGGGGGGGGGGGGGGGGCACGAGGGCACGGACTGCAGGCAGCGGCTGGGGCCACGAGCTCTCCATAAACAGCATCTCCTGGCGCCATGGTTTGAAGCAGAGCACTGGGCTGGAGGCACCGTTGCTCTGACCCGGGGGGGGGGGATCGTTTCTTACCTTGCACATCTTTCCAAAAGCTCCGTGAAGCAGGGCAAACGGACGGGTTCTGGGCAGGGAAGCTAAGGTGGCCCTGAAGTCTTTGGTTCCTGGGGGAACTTGGGGGAAAAGGGGGGGGGGGGTCTCCCTTCAGCTCCCACAGCTGAATTTTGCCCAGACGACAGAGCCCTCGCCGGCTCTCGGGACCGTGGTTGGGCAGGGGTGCTACCATGCTCTCCGCCGCGAGGGTCTTCCCCTTGCTCGGCTTTGATCACAAGAACTTCCCGGAAGGTCTTGCCCCAACGTCCATCGCCTTTCTCTTCAGTCAACCTCTTCCAGCGGCGGGGGCTCTTCGTTAGGAAGCTCCCTCAGCGTTAATTCCCTTCCCTCCAGGCCTTGGCCCGTTGGGGAGGAGATCCTGGAGCCACGGATCTGGGCGCAGCCCCGGGTGTCAGAGCTGGCGCCGTTCCCTTGCGAGGACACTGGGCCTCGGGGAGGAGGAGGAGCCCTCATTCACGTGCACTTGAGAGGAGAAAGGGATTAAACAATTCAACGCAGTCATCGTTTCAGGGCTCGGAAATCTCATTAAAATTAGCTTTGACAGAAGCTTAATTTTATTGCCTCTTGCTTGAATAAAATTTTTGAGGTCCATCCTATTAAGAAGATTTGTTTCTTTCCCTTTTTTCTTCTTCTGAAACCAACATCTGATCTGAATTTTATTAACACAAGCGCCTTAATGTGTACGTTTTGGGGGGGGGGGGGGTGGGGGGGGTGGTTAACACTGTTTCTTCGAAAACTACGGAGTTATTTCTCCAGATGTTTGCTGGCACGTTTCAATGCGGAGCAAATTGCTGATAATATGCTCAGTGCCCTGTGTTTTCTGAACAGTTTGCGCATCTCCACAGTGAAGGACTGTTAAGGGAAAAAATAATTAATAGATAAATAAATAAGTAAGTAAGTAAGTAAGTAAGTAAATAAATAAGTAAGTAAGTAAGTAAGTAAGTAAGTAAGTAAGTAAGTAAGTAAATAAATAAATAAATAAATAAATAAATAAATAAATAAATAAGTAAATAAATAAATAAATAGATAAATAAATAGATAAATAAGTAAGTTAGTAAGTAAATAAATAAATAAGTAAATAAATAAATAAATAAATAAATAAATAAATAAGTAAGTAAGTAAGTAAGTAAGTAAGTAAGTAAGTAAGTAAACCAACCCTTTCCTGTGCTCATTGAGCAAATATTGGCAATGAGTACGAACAATATTGGAAAGAGTTGCCCTTAGACAAAGACTTGGTCGCGTGGCTCGTTGCGGGGTGTTGGAGGGTCTCGGCGTGGATGCTAGGCTGCTGGGCAGGCGTGAAGGCGAAGGGAATGTGGAGCAAGAGTGGGTTTGCTCTTATTGGAGAGGCTTTAAGGCGGGCGATAGTCCAAAAAGCAGCGTGGAGCTGCCGTCCTGCCCCTCCGGGCGCTTTTTTCCATGTTTCTCCAGCGGGTAAGGCGTCTCCTGGAATAGGTCGGTAGCTGTTGGTGCTGTGATCTTCAGGGAGCGAGGGCTCCGCCGGCTCAGATGAAGCTGACTGCAACGTGGCAGATGAAAACGTGCCCAAAAAAAAAAGGACTTTTCTGGGGCTTGCCGCCTTCCGCCCGCGTTGGCTCCGACCATCTGAGGCGAGCGAGGAGCGAGGGCAGTGCGGGAGGAAGGGCCGCACTTGGAAAGGACCGTGGGTGGGACGAAGGTGTGAGACGTTTAGGCTCTGTCCAGGCACTTCTACGGCTGTTCTTCGCAAATACACTAATGGTTTGAGGGCGATTGTGGCGTTCGCTGGATTTGAAATGAAGCTGGAGAGCGCAGCCGTGGAGGGCTCGGTCATCATCTGCTCAACGACGGATGAGTGACTCGGAGCCTGAAGCGAGGAGGTGGGAGTAGATCCTGAGTGCAGAGCCCAGACTAACGGGGACTGGGAGCCCATCTCTGGAGGCGTCTTCATTAATCCTAAAGCGAAGGAGACTTGAATAAGCGTACGCGCGCGTGGCCGTCACCGTTGGTAACTCCTTGTTCGCTATTCCTGTATTGCAGTTCGTCGCCTTCCGGAGTGTTTGAGAAAGAATATGACATTTATCGGGATTACAGTGCGGAAGGTCAACTCCTCCACTACAGGTAGCCAAAATTTCCCTCCGGTATCGGGGTTGGGGTCTGCAACGTGGCCTCGGTGGCGAGGTGGGGGTGGGGGAACAGCCCGTGTGCTACTGGCTGACCTGCAGGGTCGGGGCAGTGAATAACGCCGACGTTTTCTTTGTGCTCTTCTGATCCACCTCCCCGTCCCCTTCCCTTCATGCGTTCCCTTTTTTTAGTTTTACCACCACCCTTAAATAAACCTTAAGCTAGATTTTGATGGTTCTTTGGAGCAGAGACCGCCCTCTTTATGTGGTGGTCCTCATTTGAGTGGCTCCTACCCGTGACCGGAGACTGGACCAGGACAGGAGGAGCGCCGGGGCTGTCCAGTGATGGGGTCACACCTCAGGGTGAGCTCCTGGGCCAGGGGGTTTCCTTAGGTTCCTCCATCAGGTGCTGCTGGTGCACCCCCAACGCCTTCCATCACGGTGGGGGGGGGGGGGTGGCTCGAACATCTCTTCACACTGGAACCAGTTTCTAGGCTCTGTCCTACGATTTTTACATTGTCCGGCTGATTCTGTGCCCTGTCTCTGGAGGGCCCTGGGGGGTGGGAAAGCCTCCTGAGAAACAAACCATCTCCCCCAGCCTGTGGGGCCAACTGCTTTCAGAGTCCATTTTTAAGACAGATACGAGCATTCTCCTGCTGAGATCGGGATTTCAGGTGCTAGACCAAACGGCCCCCTCCAGCTTTCCTGGATTTATGTTGCTAGAAAATAATACGGTGTCGTGCTTGCCCTCGTTACAGCCCAAAATGCCCCTCTTTAGAGTTTGCACAAGTGGTTCAGGTGCACGGGCGCTGTGACTTCTCGCCAGTACTGATGTGGACTAACGCCTTGCACACAAGGCAAAAGACCGCCAGAATTGAGCCTGTCTGATTAAATGAGCAGAGGTGGGGAACGGTCGCGTGCTGGGCTCCTGGAGCCTGGCCCAGCGCTTGCATCGCTGCTTTCAAAACAAACTTTTGGCCTTCAAAACCCAAAGCACTGTGAGGAGGGATGGATTTAGGGAAGGGGCTGAGAAATTGCCCTTGATACAGCCCAGATGGCTCCTTGGCCACACTTTCTCAGCGGCCAACGAGGCATCTTAGCTGACCCACCTCATCCCGCCCCGGAGCATTTGGGAGATGTGTCCCCCCTTGGTCACCACCCGCCAGGGTGGAGGTGGTGGTGAGGGTCTGCAAACTCTTGAGTCCTCCCCACCGACCCAACCGGCTCCATCTCGCCCTGATCCCATCCCAGCCTGCGCAGGTAGGGTTGTGTGGTACCTGCTGGCATCATCCAGATCAAATCAGGTGGGAAGAGGGAGGATAAACACCGGCACTGGGTGATGCTCTTATTGATAGAGACCTGCAAACAAGTGGTGGCCTGAAGCCGTTCGCTGTAACACCACGTTCGTCCCAATTTCTACCTTGAAGACAGCAGGTTTATAGACTGCAGTCTATAGTTTGAGAGTTTTGGAGTTGATGTCTGCCTGGTTGCTCCGGAATTTGACCAGCACCCCCAGTTCCTGTGTTTTTCTGGAGGTGCAGGTGAGCTGGAGCACCTCTTGCTCTTGCTTTGCTTGCCGCGATGCTCCGCGTTCCCTTCCCCGCTGCTCCACGGTTTGCAGGAATCTCCATCCCGGTTCAAGACAACGTGCGAGTGGAAAATCACCCGACGGCGTTGGCCGCGTGCCGTCCTGCCTGCCCTGTAATTCACTGCTTTCTGCAGTGACCTCCCAGGAGCGTCAGAATTAATTGCTGCTTAAGCAAGAGAGGGGAAAAAACAAGCTTTCTAGGAGGGGAAACGAAGAAGGTAATGGTGTCTGGCGTTTATCCTCGCTGGCAGAAAGCTCTCCTTGAGCGTCAGGTGTGCTCAGAGAGACCTGCCCACGGGCAGCTTTGCTCTGAAGCATCCCTTCTGCGCGCCGGGTGGGTGCAACCCCCTGTCCGTGGGCAGGAGAAGTGAGGAACCGTGGAAGGTGTTTTGGCAGGCCTGGATCCGCTGTTTGGTTTGGGAACGGGGTGTGCAGGTGCCTCCTCTGCTGCTCCGCTCGGAGTCGGCGGCGGGCGCTGAGCCTGCACCCAGGGGCGCAGCCGAGCGAGGTGGACCGGTGACGGGGACGCGGAGCAGTGACAGGGACACGCCACTCTCTCCTGAGCAGGTTTTTTTTTTTTCTTTTTCTTTTTCTTTTTCTTTTTCTTTTTCTTTTTCTTTTTCTTTTTCTTTTTCTTTTTCTTTTTCTTTTTCTTTTTCTTTTTCTTTTTCTTTTTCTTTTTCTTTTTCTTTTTCTTTTTCTTTTTCTTTTTCTTTTTCTTTTTCTTTTTCTTTTTTTTTTTTTTTTTTCCTGCAAACAGGGTGACTGATTCGGCACTGCTCGGTTCTGACCGGCCGCCAGCTGGGTGGCGGTGCCGACGGCGGGCGAGCTGCAATCGGAGACGGGGGACGATGCGGGTTTGGGGGGGGATCGACGGTCCCCCCCAGCCCGCCAGCTGGCTGATGCCCGCGCCCGCCCGAGCAATTCAAAGATTAAATTTCAGCGCGGTTAGCACACATGACCTGTGCGCATCAGCGTGCGCGTTGCTGCAGGAGGTGCCTCCGTCTCTCCCCGACCCCAGCTTCACCCCCCCCGTAAAAACCCACGGACAGCCCTTGCCACCCTCCCCCCAAGTCGCTTCCAGCCAGGAAGCTAATTAGCAGCTTTGCTTAATTAGCTGAGAGTGGACTTCCTTCTGGAAGAACGGGTCTCAAGTGCCCCCTGTCTGGGGGCTGCCAAGCGAGTTGGAGAGAGCCTGGGGTGGGTTGTTTTTTTTTTTTTTAACCATGTGTGTGCTACGTGCACACTGCCCTGGCACTCGTGAAAGCTGAAATCAAAGCTCACCGGTCCTACCTCGCAATGGTGGGGATGATTTCATATTAAATGGGGTTAATTTTAAGGAGAAAGGTGCACGGCGTGTTCTGAAAGTCACCCCGCATAAAGGGGTCTTGGTTTCAGCTTCTCCTAAAGCTTGACTGGCGGCTGTTCCTCGGATGGACCAAGGCTGGGCAGATCCCGAGGGTGCAAAGGGCATTTGCTGGGGGGATGATGGTGGGCAGCACCCGTGGCACAAGGGGAGGCCACCTGGAAGCCCAACTTTGGCGTCAACCTCTGGGTGACTCAGAGGGATGCACGCGTGGGCCCTCGTGGGAGTGGGAAGACCCTTGAGGTACCTCTACCTGAAGTGGCCAAGACCTGGGTGGGAGGAGCACAGCCCAGACACCTCTTGCTGATGCTCAGGGACAGGTTTTGGGGAAAGGCTGGTGCTCCAGCACCCTTGGCCAGGTTGCAAAGGGGTGGGGGAATCTCTCACCTTCCCCCGTGCTTCCCATGGGTTCATGGCAGCGCTGCGGTGGCGATTGCGAAATGAGCTGGCCCCCAACCAAAGCTTTGAAGGCTCCAACGCAGAGCGTGGCGTGGGCTGAGCCCTCAAGCACTTCCCCCCCCGAGCTGCTCTGCCCCAGCTCCTCCGGATCCGGCCCCGGGAGCCGGTTTGTGAAATGATCCCGGAGGCTTCCCAGCGGGGTGGGAGATCAAGTCTCCAGCCCAACAGCCTCCTCAGGTCCTTCCACCCCTCTCCTCCTCACCAAGTCATGCGTTAGTCCCACAGGTCCTTCTCAAAGCCATGGTAAGGGCATGTTGCCTCCTTCGAAGGTCAACATAAGAGGTGGGCAGACAGCGGACTTGGCAGAGGGGCGGAGGATTGAGTTACACAACACGCCTGTAGGTCTCCGGTGGCTGAGGAAGCCTGGTGAGACCTAGGCCGTGGCTTGCCCCCTTCTGAGCACGCGTCCGCTCGCTTCCATCACCTTCCTCCCCTCTGGCTGGGAAGGCTGAAGCTGTAGGACTTGCAGATGTTCGGACAAAGTGTGGGAGAAGTCCTCTGGGGTTCAGCTGGGAGACCACCCTCAGCCATGGCATCGTCATCCCCGAGTGCAGCTTTGGGGTTCAGCTGCCTGGGTCGCCCCAGGAGCTGCAGCAGCATCCTCGGGAGCAGGCAAGGATTTTTCCGCTTCCTTGACAGCGCTGGCTTGGTGCTCCCTGCCAACAATTGCTATGAGAGATTTTCTAATATAATGAAGATTAGCGGGTGTCATTAAGAGGATGACGTCTTGCTCCGTCTGTCTAGAAGGCATTTGTAGGAAAGCCCTTGCATCCAAATCCCATCGAGACAGGCAATTATAATAACTGTTCTTAGCCCTTTCCGCTTTATTCCTTCTGGTTTGTGGTCCCTGGAGCCCAGTTGCTTAACGTCCTCCTTTTTCCTCCCGTGGTTCCGTTGAGAGGGTTGAACTCTGCTAATCCGTGCAGTGGGTTTTTGTCAAAAGTCTGTTTGCGGGACAAATCCCAAGTCTCCGTAATTGTTCCACGCTTGTGTTGGCCAACCAATGGGTGGAGGTTCCAAAGCTACCAGAGCTGGTCTGCAGATCGGACCTTCAACGCTTCTCTGAATTCGTCTCCTCTCCCAGCACACAGCTGCTCTGCTCCTGGGACCCTCTTTGTTCCATACTGCTTTCTGCTCCCAGCTGCAGTGATGGCAACGTGCATGCTTCGAAGCCGTGGAGAAACTGGAGAAACCCCTGTTCCATGCTTCAGGGCTGGAGAAGCTGTGGCCACCCTCCGCAGCTCGTGTCTGTGCCTTGTTGTATCTCCAGCTCTGCCCTCTGGCTCGCCCTGGCTTTGTCTCTTTGGTAGAGAGGGAAGATGTCCAACCCATGAGCGGGGAGGAATGGATCCCGTTTCTGCTGGGGGTGTGATAGGAGAGCAGGACAACAGCTGCTTCATCGGCATGGGATCTTTGTAATGCTCTTGACGTGGTCTTCCTCAGTTTGTCCTGGACCTTCCCAGCCAGGAGAGTTTAGAGAGGTCTTTGATCTTCTTGTGGTTTTCAACATCTCGTGGTCAATGGGGGTCACTTCGTAGCTGGTTGTCTAGCAAAGCAAGAATGGGAGCGAGGAGAGAATTATGGC